TTTGTTTTACCAAAAATGAGAAAAATATTTGCCAAAAATAGAGAATTGAAGATATTACTAATATTTAGATATTTATTATAAAAAGGAATGAACATAAAATGTAAGTATGTTTATGAATTCAAGCCTTTGTACAATGTGTGATCAAAATCACCTCACATATATAAAATGATTGTATAATATCAGTAACTATAATAATACATTACCTATATCAATAAGTAAAGCTGCTATAACTGCCTTGGATTTCAGCAGATCACTACAGTCACATGTATCTATTTGATCTACCCTGAAATGATACTGTGGCCACCAATTGTTTCTAATACGCCAACAGTCTCCTAATGCTGTCACTTCATTTGTAGCTGCACTAGGAATAAAAAATGAAAAGATCAAAGGATTTGGCAAGATTTCTGTATTGCAAGTACAGTATCTGTACAAGTCTGTGTTGTCACAGCAAGTCTCAGATGTATTGGGGCAGCCAATTTGCAAACTCGCTAGCGAATTGGCTAACTGCTCGGGTTTTGACTGAATGGTTGGCTTTGGAATCTCGCTTGCGCCGACTCGTGGTCGCGTCCACTCTGGGTGAGCCTATATTGCATTAGGGGACTCAGAATGCTTTTACGTACGTAGCCAGGTACATGTTTGGATTCCCCTGAATGATTTGCTTTGCGAGGCGTAATAATGTATAAGTAGTTTTCCTGGTAAGTCTGAGAATAGTCCGAGCGATTAATTCACCGATATTTACTATATATATGGGGGTAGCCATCTTGAACACTGATTGAAACTAAATAAAGAGACAAGTTGAGAAACAGATTCCTACAAATCAGGGAGAAAACAAACTTTCACATCCAAACGATTCGTTGTGGTAACATTAAGCCAACCGCTAATAAAATTCGACATCACTTCATTACATGAAGAACACAGAACACTTTCCCTGGTATATTTGAAAGCAAAATCGCCATCCAACTGTAAGGCCGTCGCTGACAAGCTTCTAAAGTATGACGACCGTCCCTGCCAGGGTTCCTACTGTTATATAGATTCACCCAAAGTAGGCGTGTCCACAAGACGGCGCCAGCGAGATTCGAAAGCCAACCGTTTAGTCAAAACCAAAGCAGTTAGCCAGTTCGCTAGCACGTTTGCAAATTTGCTGCCCCAATATTTCTGAGACTTGCTGTAATCTGAGTTTAATTGTCTGTACTTACTTCCTATATATATTAACTATTACATCAGCTAATAGCTGCCATGGCTTTACCGCAGTCTGCCAGCATGCATAGTCCAGCATATCAAACAAGTAAGGAAGTGTTAATGTTTCACTTGCACCTAAACAAAGAAAATAGTTTTTACATTCATATACCATATTCAGTTATCGCATAAACATATTGTATTGGAATTGTAAACTAGAGCTGAATTTACATAAGATAAATACACCAGAAACACTTGTGAGGTTTATATAATAACTCATTTTAACAAACTGTCCTGATTTTAATATATATATACTGGTATATAATGAGCTACATAGGTATCTCTCTGGAATAGATTATCACTTATATGAAATCAATTATATAAAGAATTACATACGTACCACAGGTGTGCACTATTGTACACAGATCAATTGCTAACTCATCAGAGGGAATTAACGATAATATATCCTGTCAAAAATTGAAAAGAAAAGTTTTTTTCAAAATAAATAGATCAATCAGTTTGTCATTTGAATGTTAAAATTTTTCCTTATTTGTGTTAAACTATAACATTATTGTCATACATTGAGCAATTACCAGGGATATATATTGATAAGTTGTTATTTAAACAAAATTTGAAATTATGCTTATCTGAATTTGATTTAGTCTATTATAAAATTTTATTTGTTATTATAAGTTATGTTTATTCATGTTTATTTAGTAATTATTACATCTTGTGTGATTTCTACAATAAAAATTGTATCAGAGTATACTACACCATTACATATGTTACAATGATTTATATGTTTTTAGTACTGCACATGAATTTAATCATTGATATGAACTTTTTAATAATATTGATCTCAGAGCAGACAAATTGATGAAATATATCAAAAACAAAATATTAGGTGGTTGGAAGTAGATGAATAATATTACCGGTAGTATTAAAATGGATTTTTTTAACTGTGACCAACATAAGTAAGCAGTGCTTAGCAACCAGCCCTTGCAAATTGCATACACATCAGTCCCACTGCAGCATCACTAAAAGATGTAAATTTACTTTTGATAAAAATTACGACAGCCTAAAAAATGTAAATCACAAAAATCCTAATCCACTGTCATAATAAACAAAATAAATACCTTTAATATTGATATAAGCTTGGATGGTTCAGGGTTATTTCTTTTTAAGAATTGATACAAGTACTTGTGAGCATTTGGGTTTTCCGCATTGGTTTCAGCATACTTTTCCAAGATGTGTTTTGCATCAGCTGTTCTCCCATAATACTCCAAAATCTGAATGAAAAGTTGTTTGTGACAAAGTAATTAATAACAACATTTTTATCAAAAAAACACTGCTAACAAGACCCATAAAAGGATAGGCATTTTGAACCACTGAGAAACACTTGAACAGAGACAAGGTTTTCTATTTACTGAAGGACTTGATCATATCATATGATAAACAAGTTCACATGGATTTAATTTTAATAGTGGATTATGCTTTTCAGCAGCGCAATTTGTGAAATTAAAACCCAGTGTAACAGATTTAGTGCAGTTATTTCGCGTACAGGCAGTTTTGTTGATAACGCACTCTACATAGACATTTGCTTGATTATCTACACCGCTCATGTTTGGCGTTCTAGTTGTATTGTGAATTATATTTGCATGTTTGTGGATGTAGAGTGGAGTGTTACCGGTGTTGTTACCGCCAGTGTATGATTTTGCCACAATGCGACACTGCAGAGTTGTTATGGAAATGCTGCCTCATAACCTGAATCGCGTTACTGGGCGTAACAAACATAGTTCGTGCTGATAGTTAATTAAGGCACATTGTTATATTTTCAATACTGCATTTGTATATCATTTAAATCAATTGAATTTGTTTTACAAAAAAAAAAAAATGAGTATTTCCATAACTGTAATACTCGTTAACTGGTACAGCCATTTTTACCAACCATCTTAATCAACGCAACGTTTCTGAAGTGTACGGAGTATATTTTGCTTAGCGTGTCAACTAATAGGCCCACGAGGTATGATATTTTGTGCTATATAGTATGTAATAATGCAAAGATTATTCAGATTACCTTTGAGTTCTATGTAAGGCATTTTGAGTGTTTACTACTGACATTTGTAGGTGTTAGCCTCATGCCACTTGTATATTGCATCACTCTTTATTTACATTGTGGCGCTAATCAGTTCGTGAATTATTTGAGTTGTGTATTTTAGTCATTACCGAGATCAAATTATTCAGCTGACCATATCCAGTATTAATGCATTTACTACTACCAATCTAATGTGCAATAGAATTGTTGTAATTCAGCCGTAATTTCTGTAACTTAACATCGATACCGAGATTGTGTTTTATTTTACACCAGATCTGACGGTATACTTATAACGTCACAGCAAATGAATATGCCATCAGTGAAAGATTGTTCGCCTCTGGGTCATTGGTTGATGCAGTAAACAATGAATGCATCTACATTATTTAGCTTAACGAGTATACTTACTTCAACATGCTTTGTGACGAATATATCCCATATTCCTGGTTTATCAGTGATATCATCCAAGTATGACACGGCAGTTCTGGCATGCGTACTCGGAAGAGTCTCCTCTGTACCGGAGTCACTGGCTGCATCTGTACACAAATAATATTGCTGATTTAAATAATCATGGGATTTCATGAGCTCCAGAACTGGATTGAACGGACATATTTAAAATGAAAAACCTTTTATATCATATCATTGGTACCATTGTGAGAATGAAATGAAATGCACAAATTTAACATGAATAACACAAATTTTCTTCAAAATATTCTGTCAGAAACCATTTTGTAAAATTGTGTTAGCAGCCACTTTTGAACTGATGCAAAGAAACTGACCAGAAATAAATCATATTTCTTTTTTTCCTCCTGCATTATTTGTAACAACTTATGTAAATGTGAAAACAAAGTGTGTAACCTATTGTAGTAAGTTATCAACATCTAGCACTACTTCAGCGTCAAATCATTGCCTGGAATTGCTGTAAATGTCAAAGTTATCTTACCGATTTCTTTCTCCACATCCATCATCTCATCTTTATCTTCGGCCCACAAGACATACTCTATCATACCACAGTAAAGTTTAGTTATATACACCCATTCATCTTGGGCCACGCCTTCTTCATCACTGACAAAACTTTTTGTATACCTCTTGAGTTTGATCGCTCTGTAAGCTTCTTCTATATCACCTTTACTTAGAAAATAAAATGCCTTCTCCAAGGATTTTTGAGCTCTATGATGACTAGTAACAGTCTCCATCTTTCTGAGTTGGGCATCAAGAAATAAATCGAGTTATGCTCTATTTGACTTGAATAGCACACAAAACAGGTCCAATTTTAATATTTTTTGTCAATGAAGTGTAGATTTAATTTTACTTAAGGTGGAGATGCAGTTTACCTGACAGGTATTTTAATTAGTTAATTAGGAAACCAAGATGACCTCCCTTGTCCACAAAACTATATATTTTCGGAAAGCTTATTGTATGAATTTTAAATTTGTGTTAGTATTTTTTTTCATGGACACTGTAGTTTGAAATATACACAAAAATGTGCTTTTTTGGTCAAAAGTGATTTAAACAAAATTAGCTCCTAAACCATGCTTCTTCTTCCTGTCAAAATTGGTTTATGGGTACATCTGTTTACTATGAAGAAAGCGTCGTCTTGAAAACTGTCTACCAGTTGTCAATTTTGCAGGGCAGCAGCCCAAATTTCACTACTTCAAGTTTATGCATAAATTAACACCCAGGCTAGTTGTCTGTACGATTGTTGTAACACCGTTCAACCAAAAACAATACCTGACGGCGTTTTATAGATAAACACATTGTCAATCATTTGTAAAAATTTCAAAACAAAAGGTCAAAGCGTCTAGAAGCTATTTTTTTTTAAAGTTCTGGGATGTGCACCAAAATGAAGCTGAGATAATTGCTAATTTGCATAACAATTCACTCAGTAAGAAGTTTGCTAATGCTCGTAATAAAAATTTAAATGTATTATCGTTTTGTTAAAAGTTAAATATAGTGCATAATATGGAGATTCCGTCATTTTTTTTTTTACCATGTTTCTTTTTTTATTATTTATGTACAGCCTTGCTAAATCTTGCTTAGCATTCAAAAGAGAGAATGTTCGCACCTGTTATCTATATTTTAAAATCATTTTTTGAGTATGTTCCACTATTCACAATTCTACAAAATTTTAACAGTCTATAGCCAAGACTGTTTGGATAATAAAAAGCCAAAAAAAAAATGTTACTCCCAAGTGCCCACAAACCTGCATCTCTACCTTAAAAGGGTACATTCTGCATATTTGTAATCCACTTTTTAATTAATATACTTTTAATATTATTCCACATTACTGATATCAGCAGAGCCCTGTGCAAATAGGTGAGGATCAATTGGCTAGGAGTCAATTCGTTAACAAAATGTTATGACGTGTAAAAATATACGGGTCAATGAAAAAATACACATGAATGAAATTCAAAGACAGCTATGACAGTATCAGGTCACTTTATTTGGATAACTCGCCCAAATGTGCACAAATGACATCGGAAATTTTAAATATATAAACACCATTAAAATGTCTGGTTCTACACTATTACAAACATGTACAACAGATGACTCTGCAACATTGCTGTGAGAAACATTTTTTTGATTATGTCCCATATAATTCAAAAGATACAATTCCACTTGAATGTAGTTTCGGTATAAGACGATAAACAGAATTCTTCCAGCTCCGATAAAAAAATAGGCCAATTTCAAAAATCTATGCCAAGCAAGTATGTTTTTCCAAATTCCAAGGATAAAAAAAGAATAAAGTGAGAAAGAAAGAAACAAAGCTAAATTAAAAGTTTCAGAAGCTTAGGTTTAGTAAAGGGGGGGAAGGTAAGGTACAATTATATTAATATAAATTGAACCATACCTTCCCCCTTAACTAAACCTATGCTTCGCAAACTTGACTTAAATTCATTATGAAAATAGTGAGGGTCGTCACAATGTAGGTCCTGTTGACAAGTTGTTGGAAAGTAAAATTTTATTTATTTTATTTTGCTTCATAATGAAAATTATAGCCACCAAACCACATTTGTACTTGTGACATACTGAATGTATGCAGGTCAGTTGCACCAAGTGAGGGCGCTGTATTTTCTACCTACCCAAAGAACAAATCAACTATTCCAGGAGATGCCTTAGCATGGTTGTATATAATTTCTGCACCACACTGTGAGAGAAAATACAAAGAAAATGTCTTTACTTCATAGCATGTCATTCATCTTCAGTCTTGCATTTAGTTGACTTGTAGAAATTTATATTCAACTTATTGAATTGACAGAAACATACATTGTGTCATTTTAACCTCATACATGTAGCTCAGATATTGTTGCTATTGTGAAGGCTATACTGGAGATCCCCTGTACACATTATGTGTGAAGAATGGAATGTTGGAGATATGATGACAGGAATAACGACATCTATTGTCAGAAATAATATTGTACATACTGTAAGTTGCAATAAATGTGATAATATTGTGAATGAAGACCATTGTTGACTCCACATTCGCTATACCAACATTTTGTAAACAAAGTAGAATAGAAGCAATAACGTAACTCACCTTCCATATTACTTCCTCCATCTCTTGCGGCTCCAGGCATAACGACTCAATTACTTGATTTGCTTCTCGCCAGCGATGGTTCAGCAGACATTCTCTCAATAAGTACAGCAAAGGAGCCGAAGTGGCAACTCGGTTGTTCAACGGAACCCAAGGTTTCTTGGAAGCTAGAAAAATGGTACCAACAAAATAGTTACATCTCAAGATATTTTTTGCAGCAAACAACCAATACAGTAATAGTTGCCGATGAAATGCCCAAATTTACGATCTGTGTCTTTCTGAAATATACATTTATTAATATTGTTTTTAAAAATAATAAATCATATTCGAGTAAATTTGAGATGTTTTTTGTGTTGAAGCCATGCGCCCTATCATGACGCTGTTGACTGTTTCCAGTTTTACGACCCCCCCCCCAAATGCCAAAATATAGGAAAAAAAACATATCGGTACTTTTTAATAATATATAATTTATATTCGTTTTTTTTTTTCAAAGGGTTTTAGAAAAAGTTGTTTTCACAACAAATATATTTACAATGGTTACATGGAATGGGGCTCTTCTTACAGTGACATATACAGTGCAAATTATACTGCAAATCCTTTTGCCGCACGACTGTCTTCATTAGCAAAGGGTTAGGGTTTCTGGGTTACAAGATAAGTTCTGTAAGCTCAGTACCAAAACATTTTAAAGAACCAGACTCCGGACCAGCATATCGCTGCGATGGGTTTCAGAAAAGAGAGATACTTCATCAAAATCAGGTGATCACCTGAGTATTGGTCAAACAGGAAATCACACAGCACTTCCATTCGCCAACTGTTTTTATTTTCACTGTTTATAAATTTCTGAATTGTTTGATAATGGGTTTTGAATGATGACTTGATACCTTTGCGATCAAACAAACCTCGTTTTGACTTGTTCTGTGTGCGTAATAATTCGTAGACTGAGAATCCAGACTCTAAACAACTGAAGTGACTAAATGTTTTTCGACCAAGTAATTTTAATGTAATGTCGTAGCTATGACAATCGTATTACATGAATCATACTGGTGCTTTAGAACATTGGTAAAATAGAAATATGAAGTTTGTTATACAATGTATGTCGTTCTCATTTTTAATAAATCAAATGCCGTCATCTGCGCACTTGTCCTCACTGTGACTGACCATTTCAACTTGATGTAGTTAGTTTTAGTAGCTGTGATTCATAAACTACGGATACAGTATATTAGGTCATTTATTATTTTTCCATATCACTGATCATTATAATTCAATGCTTATAATATTAAAGCATTTTATTTTGAAATACTTAAATAAGTAGATGGGGTCAGCATATCTTTTCCATAAGGCTGTTGATCTTAGTGCCCAGCTACTCTACAATTGACAGATGTCACATCTGACTCAACACTATACCGACAGTCTTGATAATCTGTGTTCATTATGGTACAATCTTCCCTCAATAAATAAGTACATGTAAGTCAATTTAGTTAAACAACAAGAAAATTGAATAAGAATCCACCCTTTCTGCACTAGTGGCTATGGGCACTGATCAACGACTTCCCCCAGTGATAACACTAGGAGTATTTTTGTATGCAAATGAGAAGCTAATGAGGACTATCGATGAGCCCAGTTTTGAGGTACAATAAAATGGTCATTGTCGCAGACTTTAAAACCATTCTTTTTAATTACAAATATTAATTTTGTCCTGAAACACATAAACCATAATAATTTTGAACAAAAAAATAGCAAGCATTTCATCAGCACTTAAAAGAGCAAAGCAAAATGGACACTTGAGAAAAAATGCATTTAAATGCACATGGATCACAACAACTGCCCTTTCAACAATCACATGTTTTTAATTTATATATATGACAAACATTATATGCAAATAATAATAATATGTAAATGTTACGCAAATTTGTTATACAATATAAGTATTTGGCTTGGAATAATCAGCAAATACTATGCAAACTAGCATGTAAATTTGTACTGGCACAATGGTTTAAATTTCTAGTGAAAACAATTGTTCTTGACTTTAATATTCAGAAAACTACTCACATCTTAGTTCCCAATCAGACGCTACACTTGCGTCACTGATGGATATTACACTAGCAACATCATCAGAGTCTGAATCACAGTGACTTTGGCCAGGATCAAGTCCATCAACACTCTGAAATGAACAGAAAAACGCATGAATGACAACCTGTTGTACTGCTTGATCTATTGAAGATGGTTTTACTAGTGTGATGGTTCTTGCATACTGATTGAATATCAGTGTCTGTCAGTGCTAGTGATGTGTGCAGCTGGCCATTAAAAATTGTTTAATTTGTTTTATCGAATTCAAATGATGATTAAAAAGAACCAATCACAACTTGGAACTTTTTTATTTATTTGTAACATTATCAGTAATAAAAATCCCAATGTGGATACAACAAAAATAATTTCAACATGTCTGGGTTGTTTTTGGCGTGAGATTGATTGTTTTTTGTGCGTTCTCACGTGGAAAGAAAAATGCGCGAGAACCCTTATAGGGTTTTGCGTCCCAATCTCACGTGCGTGAGATTGATTGTTTTTTAGTGGTTCTCACGTGGAAAGAAAAAT